AAACATCAGGGAGACGTGCTTTTTTGACTGGTGCAGCAAGGGAGTCTGCCTTGCGATTCCCCTCTGCAATGTCACCTGGAAAATCAGTGTGTGACCTCACATGCATCACAAAGAATGGATGCTCTCGGTGAGAGATCAAATAAATCAGCCTTGAGAGCAATCTGAAGAGATGTTCATTCTCTATTTCTTTGAGCACAGCCTGCTCCGCCCTGGACACTACTCCTGCTACAAAGGCAGAGTCTGTCACCAAGTTGATTGGCTCAGAAAACTTCTCAAAAGCTCTCACCACTGCAGCCTGTTCAGCCACCTGGGGGGGATCCCTCCATAAGCTCAACATCAGCTTCCCAATGCTGAGTCTGTGGATTTCTCCATGTCATCACCGACTTGTAGGAAGCCCCAGAAACATCCGTGAACACTGTGAGAGCCTTGAGTACCCTCCGGCTCCTTTTCTCTTGAGGAATAAGGTGGAATTCCTCATTGAACAACTTGTGAGATGAGGCATGGACTGATATTTGTCCCCTGTAGCTGTCCAGAGATAGCTGAAGACTGGCACTGATCTGGAGCAAATGCTTTGGTCAATCTCTCAGGAGAGTTCCTTCCCTCCTCAGAAAGCCTGACTGGGAGGTGGATACATGCAAAGTCACACCCTGCTAATTCGCACAACCTCACCCTGGCCTTCTGAATCAGCTTTGCTATTAGCTCTTGTGGCCTAGTGATGGTTTTGGATCTTTGGAGCAATTGGAAAACCCATTCTATGATTAAGAGTGGATCCTTCTGCCCCTCGATCCATTGGAAAATCAACCCATGCAGGTGTGGCAGCTTTCCTAGAACAATGAACTGGAAATGCACATTTGGGTCACACCGGTGTGCCTGCCTTTCTGACAAGGCCTTCTGTACCTTTTCAATTGCTGTCTTTGCCTCTGGGGTCAGCTCCCTTGGGGAGGCTAGCTCCCTCTCCCCCTTCAATAAATTGAAGAGAGGTTCTAGGTCCTCATTTGTGAGGCCTAGCCAAGGCCTTACCCAATTTAAAGACCCACACAGTGACTGGAGGTCTGCTAGTGTTCTGGGGTTGCAATTGATCTCCAATTTCTGCAGGACAATAGTCCTTGCAGAGATTTCCAGGCCCAGGTATCTCCAAGGTGGCATTCTTTAAACTTTGTTTTTCTGCAATTGAAATCCAACAGACATTAAAACTTCAACCACTAGGTCAAGCGTGTATTGGAGTATAGAGTCATTGGGAGCACACACAAGCACATCATCCATGTAGTGAAGGATCCTTTCTCTCTGCACGTACCGGAGACAGTAGCAAGGCTATGTACTATTGGCATATGAAAGGACTGGATTTTGGACCTTGGGGCAAAATTTTCCAGTGATAGCGTTTCATTGGGGCTTCCTGATTGATGGTAGGAACCGAGAATGCAAACCTCGGGGCATCTTCAGGGTGCAATGGAATTTGGAAGAAACAGTCCTTTATATCTAATACAGCTAATTTCCAATTCTGGGGGAGCATAGCTGGACTAGGTATCCAGGTGCGGCTTTCGGGGGTCACTTGCGGCTTTCCCCCACCCCTCCCCGGCCCCCCGGGACCCTCCGGCTAGCTGTCCCCTCTCGGGGCCGGGGTTTTCCGTGGTCCCGCTGCCCTGGGCTCACCAGGCACCGTCTGGGTTAGCACGGTCCGAGCTGCGGCGCTGCCTCAGTCACCGCTAGGATTCGAGATAAAGAGACCAAGAGAGACCAATGGTATGCTTGTCCAGAGAGATTGTATTGCCTGAACCATAGCAGGGACCAAAGGCCCCGGGCCACTGCCCAGATACAGTTTTATACAGCAAAATTAAGAGATAAGGACTAAACAATAGAGACAGTGTTCAGCTAAGGCACATCAGAACCACCCCAGGGGCCAGGTCCAATGGGAACTGCTCAGGGGTGGGGAGAAGGGGGTCTACAGAGGAATGCTGAAGCGGGACTTTCCCGAAACAGTGGAGCATACATAAATGTATCTTTTACCTCAGTTTACCATTCCCAAGGCCTTTCTAAAACAACGGGGCATACATGAATGTATCCCTTTCCTCAGTTTACCATTCCCAAGGCCTTTCTAAAACCTTCCTCCACACTACCATGCCAGCATGATGGCAACATCCCGGGTTGGGGAGGTCCCATGTCTTCTACAACTTTGTTTATTTCTCTGAGATCGTGGAGCAATCTCCACTTGTCCTTCCCGGGCTTCTTTATTACAAAGACTGGGAAATTCCAAGGGCTGTCAGTTTCTTGCAGGTATCCTTGAGCTAACTGCTCCTTCACAAGTTTCTCAAGCGCCTTAAGTTTCTCACTACCCAAAGGCCACTGAGCTACCCACCTTGGGGTGTTATCCAACCACTTTAACTTGTGGGCAGGGCACCCCACAGTCGCTACTTCCAAAAATCCTGGGGTGTTTCAGGAATGCTCAACTGGACTCCCCACTGGGACATGGTGTCTCTCCCCCACAGAGGAGCCTTATAGTCTGCCACAAATGGGCAAACACTTGCCAATTTCCCATCAGGTCCCTCAATTTGCACAACATTTTTTGAAATTTTTGCCAATGTGGTTCCTCCTATGCCCTGAAGTTTGCCTGCCACAGGTTGCAATTCCTAGTGTGGTGGTCACATGGTTTTAGGTATTACCGTGATGTCTGCACCTGTGTCCAGAACCCCTTCAACCTGAAGGTGCTCTGACCCATGTGTTAGTTTGCATGCCATTGAGGGTCTATCCTCTCCTACTACCTCTGCCCAGTAGATCTCTGGTGATTTTCCTTCTACTGTTATTTCTACTGGGATGGGGATGGCTTGTGCCAGAATTTGCCCCTTTTCTAGATAGAATGGAGGGTGTAAACAGCATGCCAATAGCATAAGACTGGATATTTTTCCCTTAATAGTCATGGGAACTATTTCAATCTCTGGAGGTGTGTGTGCTGTGTCCCCAGTAACAAAATACTCACTGTCCAGTTCCATATTGTACACCTGTAGGTCTTGTGAGCTGTTTTACAGGTCCACTATAATGACTTCCCAATCAGTGGATCTGAAATGAGATCCTTTGGCAGTCCCTAGGCGAGGTCTGCCTAGCAGCTGCTCGACCTTGTTAGTTGTACATTTGACATTTTTATTTTTCTCTCCCCCCCGCCACCATGAGTCCTACCCTCCCCCTTATTCGTTAAGAGAGAGGCCTTGTCCTGTGTGGGTTCTGCTATATTTATGTCTTTGCGTGTAGCTGTCTTAGCAGTGTGCACGCACTGTACACTTAGTTTTTGTTTGTTGATCTGTCTCTGGTTCTGGTTTTGAGGACAGTTTCTGGCAAAGTGTCCTGGTTTCTTGCAACGCAGGCAGATGATGTGCTGCAGCTGTTGTGATGACATTGGTTGTCTCCTTGGACTTGGTGCAGCAGTGGCAACAGGCTGTAGTTCTGCAGATGTTGTATGGCTGTCAGGGGTATCGAGCAGCCCTGCTCTCCTGACGCAGGCATCAAGCATCTGAGCAAGACTAGGTGCTGGGTCGAGAGGAAGACTGAGAATAATTCTATGACAGGTCTCATTTGCATTCCTCTGAGCCATTTTTTAAATCAGCTCTGTTTGTACCCCGGGGTGTTGCACCTATCTTTCAACTTGGGTTCTCAAACAACCCACAAACTGTAAAAAACTCTTGGAAGGAAACTTTAATGTTTAATGTTAATATAGCTGCCTTTAGCCTCCGTTACTGGTAACTAATACAATGTTTTTTCTGCAGCATTACAGATTTTTTCCAAAACTGACCTAGATAACAGTCTGGTTTGTTTTTCTGGGCATTGTATGTCTCCTGTACCACATAAATGATGCATTGTAATAGGATTGCCATCACTGTCAATGGCCTCACTGGGTGTGTGTTGTATTTCTTGTAAAACTACTGTCAAAGCTAACTTCCACTTACTTTCCTATATCTCATATTCAGAAGGTGTTAGTAAACATTTAAATAAATCAGTGATATCATTAGGTACCATTTCATTTGAATTAAACGTTGCCCTAATCATACCTTTAAAAATCTCACTGGACCTCCCAAATTCTCTCTGTATTTTACAGATCTCTGTTTTGTCTCTATATGGTAGTGGCTGTTATGAGTGAGCACAAGAGGCCATCTGATCCGATTAACAGAATTTATTTAATTCATTTAATAGAGTATATGAGAGCAAAGCAAAAAGCAGCGCTGCGGCGACAGAGGGGAGCAACCGCTCCGCCAAACTGCCGCGCCTGTGATCCCCTAGCTCACTGTTTTTATCTTCTTCCTTAGTTCACTCGTTTCTTCTGCGCAATCGCATTCTGTTGCTAGGTGGTCGTTTTCTGCCTTCTGGTGGTCGTGGGATGAAGACTGGTTGTCTTCCTCACAGGTGTCCTTTGATCTGGGGATTCTCACAGTCTCAAGTATACGTGTTATCTTAGAAATGCGTGTTATCAGTTAAGCAATGCAAAGCCTATTGCCTACTACCGCTGTAAAAGCTTAGGAATGCGTGTTATCAGCAATTCACAGCCTGTTGCCTATTACCGCTGTAAAAAAACAAACTTCCTTGAAACAAATTACTATCTGCAGCTGCATCGAACAAAAAGGTCACCCTTCTCTTACAGTGGCTGGTATGTTCTGGTACCGTTTCTCCTTCCTAAATAAACAACCGTTGCTAGAGATGGTATAGATTCATCTCTAATGTCGGTAGAGGCAGGGTTGTGTACCCCCGCCACCCCCTGAGTCCCGGTAAGAGGCAGCGCCAGGGTGCCGGTGCTGCGGTGGAAATTCTGGGCTGCCCTGACTTCCCCCCGCGCCGGGGCTGGGAGCTGTGCAGGGGCGGCCCCGGCCCCATTCCCGTTCCCGGGGCAGCGCGGGGGCTGGCTCTGATAAGCAGGGTGTTGGGGGGCTGTCGGAGATCGGAAGGGATTGAACGAGGGGCGGGTGCGTGGGGGCAGGAAAGGATTGTGAAGGGGAGGGGGTTGGAGCACGTGGTCACTGCCATTATGGTGCCGCGTGTGTTTCAGCGGCATTGCTGGGTGCTGGGAAGAGAATTCCTCAGTTTCGGAGAAATACGGACTATATTTCTCAGAAGAAACAGGTGTTAGAAGAGGATACAGGGTGGGTGAAGGGATATCAGGGCTGGGATATTGAGGAGGTGGGTAGGTGGGGGGAAAGGGGTTATTCGGACTGTGATTCTGTGTTTGTATGCTCTTTTCTGCTTCTAAAAAATCTTTTTTCAGGCTTGTAAAAATATCGGAATAAATCGAGAAGCTTTATGTTCACCATTTTCGACTTTTAAAGTTAATATCTGTCCAATTTGGTCCCAAAAAGAAAGCGAATTCAGTTCTTGCACAGTAAAATTTGGTATTTCTGCTAATAGCCAGCATGCAAAATGCAGGAGGAGCTTATTTGAGAACGATACATTGTTTAAAATGTTGCTAAGGTCTTTTAGTGTGCTCTTTTGTTCCACCGATACTTTTGCACCCATTATTTTAATCGTATCGCTGGTCTATTCTCCACCAGACTTTGTAACACAGTAAGAATTGTTTGAATTCCTGCCGTATCGCGGGATCCGGGCGGGGGGACGGGTTCTCGTCCCGCCACTGCTGGAGCGGCTCCTGCCCTAACTCTGGGACAGGGGATTTCTCCCGCGCAGGGTTCCTGGCTTTACCGTCTCGAGCAGCTCCCGCAGTCACTGTGGTAATAACCCTCCCAGCCAGGCGCGATCCCGGGGTGATGTGATCGGAGGACTTACCAAGCCTATGAGCTGCGGGGTTCGTCTGTGAACTCGCCTGGGGTCCCTCTCCAGCCAGCTCACCTGGGGTACTCAGGCGAGGTCCCCGACCTTTCCCAGTCACTCAAAGCCTTTAAAGGCAGCTAGAGTAATAGGGCAGTTGACTGTCCCAAAAAGCTATTGAGATCCTCTGAAATGGAGTCTCCAGCTTCTGCGTGGGCTTATGGCAGCACACGTTGGGAGCCAACTGACGTTCCCCCCTCACACAGCCCCCTAAATATCCAAGAGGAGTGGAAGTTCCAAGAGGGCGTCTGCCCCCTCGGGGGGCCTCTCATCAGGGGGCTTCAAGGTGGGCTGGAACAAGGCTTGGGCCAATGGGGTTACAGGCACTTGATGTTTCAGGGGAGGGTTACAGGCGTGGGGTGAACCGTACATCTTTTAGGGGGTGAGATGGAACAGTCCATTTGACCCCTGGACCCATCCGTAGGCAAGGGCATTGTCCGGCTAGCAGGGAGGACTGTTCTCATCCTGGCTGTATTACTTATGAATAATTCTATTTATCCATCCTTCCGAACACGTTGGTTCAGCTCTCTTTATTCTGTGGTGTCCAAGGGGAGAGCGGGACAAAAGAGCACGAACAGGAAATGTCAGGGGTCTGTGCAGACTTTGGGCAGGGTGGGCTTCCCTGGCTCTCCCCAACCCCATTAGGGCAGGAAGGAGGGTCCAGGGTTATCTGATCAGAGTCACAGGGTCCCGGGGAAGGCGGCACAGAGTGCCAATGAGCTCACTGTGACAGATGGTGGGAAAAATAGTGGTGAAGTATAATGGAAATACTCTTTGATTTAGTGTGTTTGTCTTCTAGAAACAACACTTTCTAGAAACAATGCTTTCTAATATTAAATGGCAGAGCCGCCAATTGAATCACTTTTGAAAATTTTTCCCAGTCTTCCAAAAAAAAGTTTATGCAAATACTAGCCAAAAAAACCCAAATTGACCCAAGAAATATTAAAAATTATAAAGGCTATTAAAAACGAAAAAATTGCTGATGGAATGCTAAGAGGTGTACATGTCGCTAAAGAAATACTGTAACTGAAAGCCATGAATTCTTTATATCATCATTTCATCCTCTTTCATATTTTAAATGTGAAAGAAAAACATTATTATGGATTCTAGACGTAGATCTCAGATTCATCTGACATATCAAGCAATTATATTTTTACTGGTTTGCTCGATGTTCTGCTGACTGCATTGCACATTTATTGGCTTGGTTTTTTGCTTCTTTCTGCTTTCAATACCAGGCAATCCATGCCATTGATAAAGAGTATGATTTCTCTCACCTGAGCAAATACATTTAATCTGTAAGACCCCTTTCTATTAAATGGACAGAAAAGGACTTCATTTATTCCACCTAACATTGATTCTTTTGGTAAAGGTCACCTGGAAAAAACTGTTTTCTGCTGGGATTCAACTCAAGGATTTGAATAATTGAGAAGACTGGTAGGCACTGGAGCATGGAGAGCCCCTCAGCCTCTGGGGATATATACTACAGAATAAAATTATCAACTCTCTCAACTTTATTGAGTGTACTGAGCACAATTCTGACTAGAAGCTGTTGTGCACATTGATAGCCCTTTGAAAGACATGTGGGAAGATGAATCTCACCTCCTGATCTGTGCATGTATTTGTATTTCTATTGACTATTTAGGAGAGCTAGATGAATTGCAGATGTCTAAAGTTAGGCGAAAAAAACCCACTCTCAATGCCTAGAAACAACTCCCTAGAAGTTGCAAAACACACAATGCTGCAGTTCTGTAAAATTTGCCAAAGCAATGACTGAAGCATTACATGTGTGCAAACTACCTGCACAGAGATATTTTTAGAGATATTCACAAGATATTCTTCACATAGGAAGATATGAAGACACATTTTTTAGCTCTTCAGTGAGTAAAACCCCTCAAATAGTTAAGATTTCTGAATTTAGCACTCCTGCAGTCACAATTCTTTAACTTCACAGGACTTAATTCAAAAACATCCAACTCAGAGAAAGATTGGAAAAGCCATATAGGTAAGAAAATAAGAAATTGCTTACCCAGAGTGTGTGTAGGAACACAGGGAAAGATCTAAAAAGAGCAAGAAAACAAAAATTAACAGTGACAATAAGATATATCCTGCAAGTTTCCAGCAAGAATTATGTATTATTTAATCAGTGACAAACTCATAAGAGCCTACACAACTGGGGCAAGATGAGGATACGTGTGCAGTGCTGGTACAGTTTCTCCCTTTGAAAAGTAGTGGAAAAGCTATTCGCTGAGGTTTAGCCGACTAGAGATGCAGAACAGGGGGCTCCAGAGCTGTCTGAAGGGAAGTGCCGCTCCCCAGCGGCTTCCAGCAGAAGCCGCGCTCTGCAGCACACGGCTGCCGCTCCAGTGAGCTGTGCACGAAGTAGTCGTTTCTTCGCCTCTGGGAGCCAGAGAGAGTGGTAGCAGGTAAGAGGTGAAGAATGAAGCTGCAAAGAAGCAGGCTTGTGTGTGCAGCCTTTGGACTGCTAGACGATGGTGGCTGCCACTCTTGTGCCTGTTCAATTCACTGGTAGCATGCATATGGAAGGAAGGTGTTCCAGGACAACTTTCCTGGGTTTTGACTTAGTCCTGATGCAACCCTACTTGGAAAGTCTTGCTTGTCCCCTGAGGCTCCGAGATGCAGAGAACGTGATGGCAGCTGCAGGAAAGAAGGGCTGCGCTGAGTTTGTTTACAAGCAAGAAGATAGATAGCTTCCTGTGCTTGGGAATGAGCTGCAGCTGGATTTTTGCAATTGCCTTCACTGTGCACAGAAGGCCAGTGCTCTGCTGCTTCGTTCTTCACCTTCTGTGAATGGCACACTTCTGAAGCTGAGCCAGGCTCTTCACCTTTGCTGCTTTTCAGCATCTTTGCTCCACCTATGGAAAAAGTTGCTTTTAAGGAGAGGCTGGAATAATGGAAGGAACCCAGTCCCTCTCACCATGTTCCCACTCATTACCAGTTGCCTCCAGTTCGGTCCCAGTTCTCTGCTGCATGGTCCCAATCGTTCCCAATATGCTTCCAGTCTCCCCGGTATGGTTACAGATACTGCCAGTAGATTCCAATATCCCCCAGCACATCTGTAATCAGTTCCAGGCACTAGCAGTGGCCCCATAAGGTGTTAGTTTTCCCGGTATGATCCTCCAGTCATGGTCAGAATATCCCAGTTGCCTCCAGCATGCATCCAGTCATGCCCAGATCCTGCAATTGGCTTGCAGCATGATCCCAATTTCTCTTAGTAGCTCCAAGTAGCCCAAAGTATGAGCCCAGTTGTTGCTCTGTTTTTTAAAAGTGTTAAGTTTTCTTTTAGAGTTCTTTGGAAAGTTTTCAAGTTCTCATTAAACTTCTTTAGCCTTCTGAGAACGTTTTAATCTTTGAGAGACAGAGGTCCCACAGCATTTCAGGTGGAAATAGAATCATTAACATCTTTCTCTGTGGGTGGAGAGAAATGATTGCTTGGTCTTTGGAGCAGTGTGGTTGGAGAGGTAGTAATTCCATCCTCCAATCCACGGTCACCTTTGGCATTCTCGAAATACCTCACCAGATGTTGGAAGAAAACAGGCTCTTTTTCTCTTTGGAACGTCCCAAGCTTCTGTGTACTCATTTCTTGTCCAATAGCGACATCTGTTGGCGCCGCGTGTGAACGACACCTGTGGGTGACCTCTTGATTAACCCTCTCTCTCCCGGGCCTGACTGCAGCCCTTGTGGGCAAGTCTGCTTCTATGGCGCCTGGTGGCAGCTGCCCACAGAGGCAGCCTAGAGGAGCAGATCCCAGTGTCCCTCAGGAGCCCAAAAATGGGGATCCCAGAGAGGGCAGAGCACTGCCAGTAGCGGAACCCTCAAAAGCCTGGAGAAGGGAAGGGGGGCTCCTTGGAGTCCCTGCGCCCCAAAGCAGAGAAGAAGGGGAGAAGGGAAGCCGGGAGCCCAAAAATTCCCGGCGTCTATAAACAGGGAGACCCAAGGGGGGGAGCTTTTCACATTCCTGGGACTTCCAGCAGCCTGGGGAGGGCAGGGATCAGGGAGCAGGGGGACCCTGTGTATAAGCGTGACCCCCAGCAGCTGGGGTAGGGGGGAAACCCAAACACCAAAGGGGAGGGACCAGGAACTGAGAACTCAGGAGATGCTTTTCCAGGGCTGAATCTTGGTATTGGGGAGGTTTAGTGGACCCCAGATGGCCGGTGACTTCTAGAGATGGACTTGGGCAGAGGGGCCTTCAAAGTCAATGTGCTCATCCCTTCTTTTCCCCAAACCAGGATTTCCCATTCCCAAGCCCTTGGAGGCTTCAAGGAAGAGGAAGATGCCCCGGGACACCCAGGCAGGTGAGAAGGAAGTCACTGCCCTTTCCCCCCTCTCTCCTGCTCCATCTCCCAGCCCAGCATGGCCCCCGGCTGCAGGATAACCCCCCTGATGACACCATCCTGCCGGGGATGCACTAGGGGGATCTCCTTCCCTCTGGCACAGAGGCAAATCCCATCCTCTCCTTGTCCTTTCTCCCCCAGACAGTCAGGAGCTGAGGATGGAGACTGGAGAGGACAAATCCCCGTGGCAGAACCTCTGGAAGAGGCCATTTTAAGCGGCGCCAAGGCACAAGAAAACGACAGGGAAGGAAAAGCCCCGGAGATCCCGCACGAGGAGGGGCTGTTAAGAGGCCATCTGAAGCCCCCTCATTCCCCATTTGCCTTCCAATTGCCATGAGGAGGAACCCCTTTCCCACCTGCAGTTCCGACTTGGAGAAGGCAACAGTGCAGGCGCAGCCACTGCACCGTTACACTAGCTGTTCTGAACAAGGCTTCACAAGAACTTGGCAAAGACTTGGTGAAGACCTGGCATGGACTCAGCACGGGGCGGCCTGCTGCAATGCCTGCTTAATTCTCCACCTTTAAGCCTAATGAACTGTTGGGGTGACCCTGGTGGTCTCTCACTGAAGACCCCTCACCTGCCTCATTACCACCGTGACAGACGGAGATCCAGAACCCTCTTCCAAGGACTGAGACTGAGACCCCTACCACAGGGAGTGGGGGAAATGGTGGTGTAACCACTAATGACATGACCTGTTCTCCTCCAGTAACTTCAATGGACTTATTCTTCATTGTGTTTGTTCTGCCTTGGTGGTTTCAGTTGACTCACCAGTTCCCCCACAGAAATTTTCAATAGACTCTCATTGTTCTGCATGCTCCCCTCTTTCTCCTTGGTGGACTATAACTGGACCCCTGGGTTGGGTAGGACTTTGGAGACTCTCCCTGACACAAGACGGATCCCCATCGTCCAGACCAGTGAGGATCTAACCTGTGTTGGTAGCTATTCCCATCCACCTCTTTCCCTCTCACTCTCTATCCTTCTATTTCTTTTCTGACCCCACTACCACATTTATTGTTTTGGCCCCTAATAAAGGTGCATTTGTTGTGATTAAACTGATAGTCCCCTACTGTTTGTCTTTTGCACTTTTGGGATCAGTTAACGAACCATCATGACACACTGCTACAAGTGGATCGTGACATGTCCGGACCTCAACATTTCCAAACTTCGCAGGATTTCTCCAAAACTACAGATGTCAGCAACTAGGAACCTGTGTGATCTTAGATCCCCAAATACCACCTCTAAGCAGATACCCAGAGCCTGGAGAAATTACTTCTTTTTCCCATGGAAAATGGCCTCCAATTGTGGCCACTTGCACTGGCCCACAGTGGCATCCTGACCTTAACATTTCCAAACTTTTTCCTTATATGCTTTTCATTGTTTTATAGAATTTTCTTTGACGTGATTTGATTTTTCCGAAACTTGGCTTGTAAACGTTTTAAAGGTTGTGTTAAATATACTTCACAAGTAGTTCAAACAGCAGTACTAGCAGAAATATTTTGCATTTCAATGACATTTTACAGTTCCTTTCAAGAATGCTTGTTGGATTCTTTTGTACATAACTCTTAAAACTCCTTTCTTCAAAATGTGAATTAATTTATATAAAAGAATATAATTTGTTTAATCCATAATACTGACTTTTGCAAAATGGATGCTCATGAAAGTGCTGATTTGCCAAGCTTATGTACCGCAGCATTCAAGATGAAACAGAGACCCAAACCAAAATGGACACTTCATAGTCACTTATCTAATGAGTTACCATCAATTAAGGTAAACCAAAACTGAGATTGGAAACCCTTAACTACCAGATATTATTGTCCTTATTTAATTAAGCCAACAATGTGCTCACCACCTATGCAAATAGCAAAGATTGTGTTAAATCAATATCAATTCTTCTAACTTCCAGAAAATACCTTGAGAATTACATTTTAACACAAGAATGTAATTACAATACAAACACAAGGATGTGTCATTTTTAATCGTATACCAGGATGTCACCTGTAAAACCTAACTAAGATGTTTCCTTTAATAATTTCAAATTGGTTTGATAAATGCTACTTTCCAAAGCAGTTGTATACATCACTAAACACAGAATGGTTCCTACAGCTGTGGAGTGTGTTACACCACTGCTACCTTCTACATGGCACTTTAAAATGTATTCTTTTTAAACAGAAAAAGGGGGAATGCCTGGTGCTATCTATACCCTAAATCACTTGACATTATTAGAAGGATTTTATATATTTAAATATATGAGGACTTGAAGTTTTTATCTGTTTAAAGGTATGGATCACAGACCTGAACTAAGGCAGACTGTTGAAGTAAAAAACATTGATTTTTCCCTGTTGGTTGGCTTTCCCACGGTTCTAAAAGTTGAAATGTTTCCTGTTCAGAGAGTTAAGTTGTAAGTTTGTAACTTCCAAGTAATGAGCCTGCGGCATGCCATTTTGAGAACTTGTATTGTTGGTAATCCCATCTGACAGCTTCTGGGAATAAATGTCACAACTTCAGTGATACATGGGATGCATCACTAGCTGAGAGAAGCTAGGGTTGTTGAGCTAGGGAGAATCATCTGTATCGTCAAGCTGTCTTTGTGATTTGATCTGCAAGGAGCTCTGCAGAAGATGACAAAGAATACTTTAAATTTTTATACAGAAAAGGGGAAACTGTGACAACTGTGGCTGGTCTATAGCTGCACAGATATCTCGGTCATGACAGACACTTACTCGACCAGCCGAGCTTGTTAGAAAAATAGAAGGAAACAAGTCCCCAGGCATGTTACTGATGGGTCAGATTCAAACTCCAACAGGGGAGCCCGGCCAATCGTTTGAAGTATGAATGCACCCAGTGAGCTGGGCAGAGTAGAGACCCTTATCCAATCAGATAAGTGTGGGAAATTTGAAGCCTCTATAAAAGGGGCTGACCAGCAATAAACTTTGGTTGTTGCTGCACGATATCAGTGTGTTTTGGTTGCTTGTCTATCTCTGAAATTGCGACAAGCTGCAGCCATACCAAACCTCCAGGATTCCATTTGTTGGAAATTATACAAAGTTTAGTTTTTTTTTAATATAGCTTCAGTCTGGAGCTCTGTTCATCTTTGCCCAGGACAAAAGAAATTGAATTTCTTTTTAAAGGACCATTTCAGCACTCAAGGCCTGACAAGTTTAACATCTCAGCAGACTGGGAGAAGCACAGAAGATACACAAAAGATAATGACCATTAACAAACATCAACTCCAAACTTCACCCCTGGCATTGTTAGAGACACCTGATCAGAGAAAATGTAGGTAAGAGAACAAAGAATGAAAACCTAATTAGCATCAAAGGCAAAGGGATCAATAACCAATAGGAAACCAAAGTCTAAGAACTGTGTAACTTGGGACCAATGAACATTGAACCAATGAATTTATCTGAATTTTGACTGTATGTGAAAAATCTAGTAAAAATCATGTGTGATGAAAGGATTTTCTCTGCACAACCCAGGCAATACATGAAAGAAATTATTTCTGTTGCACATCCTGGCCAGAACAACATCCTGGACAAAATAAAGCGATTCCTTAATTCTTTAACACTAAAAAATATTGTTGGAGAATTTTTGCTTTTCCCATAATTTCAGCGACACTGTCACTTCCAGCCAGAGCACTTGTGCTCAACCATATCAATGACACAGGCAGAAAGGCCTTATCCCAAGCCAGAGTTTCATTGGAGGGTCATCAGCTCCCTGGGAATTGCTTTAAGGAAGGACTGAACTTTGTTCTGCCACTTCCCATTTGTTTCCCACATGAGCCAAAGTGTCAGGTCTGGCCATACAGGATTTGAGCTACCAAATGACACCTCTGAGGATGTTTGTGATTACTGTGCTGGAAATGACTCTGAAAGTATTTGCTTTTCCATCCCTCAGAATTTCCATTATATTTGATATACTATCCTTCAGAGGGGTTTCTTTCCAAATAAGCTCTCAATATCCCAGTAAATTTCAGCTGGGAAAAGGGAGCGTCTGGGTATTTTTATTCTGTCTTATGTCTTACAAGCTGATTTAAATTTTAACTGAAATTTTAGGCAACTCTTCCCTGAAATTGGGTTAAAGGAAGGTTCCCACACACAGACACACTTATGCAGCACTTCATTAGGAAGCCTGGGGAGCCATAGCATTTGAGCTGCCTTGGAGTTGGGAAGAAGTCCCTGTTTTAGAAGTTTTCAGTAAACTACTTAAGTGCTCCTGAGTGCCAATCTGTCAGTAGCAGCTTCCCATACATCCCGGGAAACTAGATAGGGACCTCCTAAATATCATCTGAAGTGGGCAGTTTTTTTTTTTTCCTCCAGCAGCACTTGGCAGTGAGTGTTGGGGATTATTTAATCGTAACTGTACCTATAACCTGAGACTGATCCTGATTGTTTGATTCTGACATCATTGAAGCATTGGATTATGGAAAACAGACAAGACAGTGTATCACTCATTTATGTTACCTGGTGGTTTTTGGGCAGGGCTCAGCAATTTGCAGTGGGCATGATCAGGGAGAGGAGTCACTGCTTCCCTTTCCAGCAAGGTATGGGAAAGACAGCCTAAAGGATGAGGCTTGGGAAGGAATTGTGAGATGAAAAGTAGCCCAAATTGACCTTAAATTCCTGGAATGGTCTGGGTTGGAAAGGATCTATCACGGTCAGGGACACCTTCCTGGGGTGTCCATGGAATATGTTCTATGCCAGGCTGGTGGAACAGGCATGGTTTTATCCCTGAGCCCAGTCAGGGGCATTTTTGTGGTTTCTGTGGAAAGAGGTCTGTGAGCTGCATTTTGGGAGCTGGAAGGCTCCATACCTGGAAATGTTTCCAGTACTGCTATTTGCATTTTTTCAGTCTTGGTCAAAACTGGGCATTACATTTCTTCCCAGAGTGAGGTGGTTATCCATTGATGGATTACACACTAGGTGTCTAAGGGTTGTGCTGTCTTTCTCCTGAATGGAAGAGTGAGAGTGCATGGATGCTGCCAACTGTCACAAAGTATGAAAAAGTTCTCATGAAACTTAACTCTCCAAAACTTGAATGAAGCTAAAAAGAGATGGGAATGCCCTTGGCAGAAAAGCACCTGTGAGGCAAAGCAAGCTTAAAATGCCTGCCTGTGAGCAGGAAATCCAGGAGATATGGCTGCTGGCTCCTGGTGTCCTGGGCTTGCCAGGCACGTTTTGTACTGGACTGCAATGCAGTTTTCCTGCCTCTGGGTGGTGGCACCTGCATCCCACTGGACAGGGAAAAGGTGGAGAGAGCAGCAAGTGAGAAGACAGTTGCTG